AGGAAGAAATGTCCTAGAACTCAATGATGTAAGACAGTCAGCAAATTACACCTGTGTAGCTATGTCAACACTGGGTGTCATTGAAGCAATAGCACAGATCACTGTCAAAGGTATGTTCAGTGGTTCATGTTTTTGTGGATATGGGTATACTTAAATCACCTGACTGACACGTCTACAAAGTCTACCCTCAAAATCTAAAATGAAGCATTTCACCATTCATTATTTCGTAGGTGGATTTTCTAAAGTATTGACAGCTTAAGTGGCAGTCATCAAAATATTTAATAAGTGGCAGGACCCAGGCACTAACCAGGTAGAGTAAGAAATGCAAGGTTAGTCAATAAATTATGATCGAGCTGATGTGTATAGGTTTCATATTAATTCAGAACCTGTTAAGAGTCTCATGATAGAAAAAAACACAAGTAAGTGTTAATAAATGGTAAAAATCCCTGAAAACAAAGGAAAAAGAAGGGAAAGCAGGAGCTAAAATCAATATCTTCTAATAATAGATGCTTTAAATATGATCAACCTTACCATAAAAAATCAAAACCCAGGTTTCCCTGGTGACTCGGAGTTAAAGACTCAGTGCTGTCAGGCTATCGCCAGCCTCTGCAGTGCAGGTTCCCCAGATGGCCAGGGAGATTCCCACAAGGCTTAGCAGACCTCTCTTGTCATGCCCCCTGCTCCCCTCAGCAGTGCTTTTAGTCTGTTTGCCTGTTCTGCTCCCCACTCTGTCTCTGGTGAATCCTCTCACCCACCCGTACCTCTGGTCTGTTCCCCAGCTTATGTATAAATAAAAAAAACTTAAAAAAAAAAAACCTTTACAATAAATGTGACAGAGCAAAGCTAATGTCCGCTTAATATCAAAAAACACACTTAATTATTTACATTATTTTTTACTTTCCTTAAAACTTCATAAACACATGTAGAGAAAATTTGTGTCCCCCAAATCTTTAAGAAATGTCAGGCCAGAATATTTAAGCAAATTTCTTTTAATTATTATTTTCAGTAAATTTCCTTGGCCAGTAGCATTCTGTAGTTCTTAGGGTTATATGCAAATGTTGAATCACCCTTTTCATAATAGCCATTTTATCTTTAAATATTTCACCTTAAAATATTTGAAAGTTTACTGAAGTTCTTTAAGAATTCAAAAGCAGTAATGACATTATCTTGTTCAACTGCCTGTCTTTGTTTTCTTCTCCTCACTTCCTACTGTTCTCTATCTCAAAAAATAAGTAAATAAGACATGAAGATGAATTTGGAAATTGTGACCAATGCAATGAGAGTGTGAGAATGGATAGGGACTCATTCACTCAGTGAGTCGTTTAAGAATATATGTATTAAAAAAAACCCTTATAGGTTATAGGAAAAATGGGTGTTGAGTGGGCTAATGATAAGAGTGTTACCCTATGAGTTTTCTTTAAAAGTCAGCCAGTGGAATCCTTTACCTTTCAGAATCATTGTGCAGGGTGAAACTGTTAAATATGTGGTCACCAATGAAGAATATTTGTAGCACTTGAATTGAGTCCTGCTAAAAGGAAATAATTGAATTTCTAAAAGAAGGGTATAATTGCAAATATTTGTCACGTACCTATAATCTCAGATATTAATGATGCTAAGCATTGAATACTTACTATGATAAAATATATATTTTTTATTTTTTTTAGATTTATTTATTTATGCATACAAGAGCAGGGGTACAGGCCAGAGATGCAGGGGTGGTGGTGAAAGTATTCACTAGAGACAAAGCGGAGAGCAGAACAGTCAGACAGACTGAAATACACTGCTGAGGGGATCAGTGGGCAAGATAGAAGAGGTCTGCGTTGCCATGTGTGTTTCTCTCTGGCCAGCTGGGAATCGAACTTGTGCTGCAGAGGTTCCGGATTGTTTCATAATGTGGTGCTTAACCCTTTGCGCCCTATGATAAAATATATTTTTTTTAAAGATTTATTTATTTATTTATACAAGCAGTGGGTACAGTCAGAGGCGCAGGAGGGTGAGAGAATTCATCAGAGCCAGAGCAGAGAGTAGAACAGGTAGAGTGACGAAGTACGCTGCTGAGGGGAGCAGCGGGCGGCAAGAGAGGTCTGTTGCACCATGTGGGACCCTCGCCTGGTAGTCGGGGATCGAACCGGTGCTGCAGAGGCTGTGGGCAGCTTCGCAAGCCAGCGCTCAACCGCTGAGCCACCAGGGAGGCCCCTGATAAAATATTTTTGAAGTAATTTTTGACTATGCCTTTTTGTAGTTACTTCAGTATTTCTTGGATATTAACTACAAAAACTGAATTTGAAGTCAATTCAAAGTTAGTATTTTTTTCTTACCTTAAAATTCTTGGTTTGATATTTATGAGGATTTTTTTTAGTAATGTTACCTATGTCTTACAACTGAAAAAATAGATAGTACTCTCTCATAGCAATTTAATTCCATTTCAATATATTCCAAATTTTGTTCTTTTCAACATGTATTGGAATTTAGTTATGCCATTTATTTCTAGCAGTGAGGGATTTTTTGATCAAACTTTTGGTTATAATAATAGTAATAATCACAACTAATATGTTTTTGCAGGTGCCATATTCTTTATAAAAGCATGACTGCATTTGGCCTTTAATCTTCATGGCAAATTCTTGAAGTATATTTACCTAACTATATGCCTTAATGAATATAGTTTTTTTTTTAATATGAGGAAATTAAAGCAAATAAAGATTAATCAATGTGGCCAGGTTCACATATCTAATAAGTCCTAGATTTTGAAATAGGTCTCAAAATAGAACACTGTAGTGCCCTTCTAGTAAAATGGTATTTGCTATTTATTGTGCCTTCTTGCACTTACTGATCAGTTAGAAAACTATCCTTGGCTAAAATTCCATCTGATTAAACCTCCAGAAAGTACACAGATCTTTTATTCCAATAATAAGGTTTATAGTTTATTGTAACATCTTAGAAATTATGAGTGATCAATGACTGTTTCTCTCCCTCTCCTACAAAGCCTTACCCAAACCTCCAGGAACTCCAGTTGTGACTGAGAGCACAGCTACAAGCATCACATTAACATGGGACTCTGGGAACCCTGAGCCTGTCTCTTACTACATCATTCAGCATAAACCTAAAAATTCTGAGGAAGCTTACAAAGAAATTGATGGGGTGGCAACCACTCGCTACAGTGTGGCCGGACTAAGTCCCTACTCAGATTATGAGTTTAGGGTTGTCGCCGTCAATAACATTGGGCGAGGGCCTCCCAGTGAGCCTGTGCTAACTCAGACTTCAGAGCAGGCACCATCCAGTGCCCCGCGGGACGTCCAGGCACGCATGTTGAGTTCCACCACCATTTTGGTCCAGTGGAAAGAACCTGAAGAGCCAAATGGACAGATTCAAGGATACAGAGTTTATTATACGATGGACCCCACACAGCATGTTAATAACTGGATGAAACACAATGTAGCTGACAGCCAAATCACTACTATTGGCAACTTAGTACCCCAGAAAACATATTCTGTCAAAGTCCTGGCTTTTACCTCAATTGGAGATGGCCCTCTTTCAAGTGACATACAAGTCATCACGCAGACAGGAGGTAAGTCTGGTTCTGGATGGCAAGTAGAGGAGAGGGAAGGGGTTGTCCTTAGAGATGGTAACAGCAAAAATAAAGAAGCAAAGAACAACATAGTGTAAATCATGATTTTTGAGATTTAGAATGTCAATGAGAGGTTAAGATAAGACCTCTGAAAACGCATAGACATGAAAAGGAATAGACATGAAAGACTGACAAAAGGACTGAAGTAGAGAATTTAAGCAAAGGCATGCATTTAACATCCTTTGTTTTGTTTGGATCCAAGTAGCTTGAAGACTTTTCTGCATGAAATGAATGAATGCATCTTCAACATAGTATTTTGAGGCTAGAAGAACTGTGCATCTTTATACCTTGTGACCCTGGTAGAATAATATCTAAAAATATTTGTGAAATATAGAATGGTTCAAGATAAAAATAAGATCATTTGTTGGGGACAAGGGTGTTTTCATGTATTTAAATACCTGATATCTCTCAGGAAGCTTCTTGCTTAAAAATATTCTCCTAATGACTTTTAGAGCTTTTTTTTTTTATTTTTAACTACTTACGGTCTCAGGGGATAAAGAAAAGCCATTACCATTATTTAAGATCAAACTCTGTGACTGACTCACCCATTTGAGGGGTATCAGAGCAGATGTCAAGCTTTTTGTTGAGGAAAAACTTGGCTCTGTCAGTGTGTTTATTTTCATAAAAAAATATCGCAACTCTCTGAACTTTAATTCTAGGTGATCAGTTTTAGTTTGGGTTAAGAATATAACATAGCAGCTTTTTCTCATGCTTATTCATGAACTTCAACAGCTTTTATTTTGACTCTGTATTGTGTTGGTGACTTGTGAACTTCCATTAACCAAGGGAGTACTGGCAGTTTGCCATTAGTTTGTTCAGAGACTCTACATAAGAACCAAACACTGGGCCTCCCCGGTGGTGCAGCGGTTGAGCGCTGGGTTGCGAAGCTGCCCGCAGCCTCTGCAGTGCCGGTTCGATCCCCGGCTGCTCCCCGGCCACCAGAGGAGGGTCCCACATGGCGCGCAGCCCTCTCCTGCCGCCCGCTGCTCCCCTCAGCAGTGTACTTCGGTCCTTCTGCCTGCTCTGCTCCCCGCTCTGGCTCTGGTGAATTCTCTCACCCTCCCGTACTTCTGACTGTATCCAGTACTTGTATAAAATAAATAAAGAAATCTTAAAAAAAAAAAAAAAAAAAGAACCAACCACTGCATACAGTATCTGTAATATATAGGAAAACTCATTACTTATTTTAGGGATGAATTAATGAATTTTCTCAAGTGTCAGAGCTAGATAAATTTATGTCTGTCCACTGACCTGTTTTTATGTCATGGGCTTTATGAATCATATGACTGCACATGTGTAAGCAATTTTCCCTGGCTACTTGAAATTTCAGAACATATTTACAGACAGCCTGGTTTTATTTTATTTATCATATTTTGATTTCCTGTATTAACAGATTATAAAGTAATGTAAATCATAAAGTAATCAAGGTAATATTGTGGAGTCAATATAATCCTGGACAGTGAACTTAAAAAAATCTAGATTAATGGGTCAACTATGTATTAGAATAGTTGTTCCCAATCCATTTCACTTTTTTTTTTTCACATTTAAGGTATTTCCATGAGGCTTCCATAATAATTTTGCTTTTAATATCCATTTATTGGGAAAATATATAATGACATGATGACTCAGGACTCTCAGGATCAATAGGCTAAGAAAACCTTCCAAAATAGGACAATGATTTGATCAGTTCTCTGGCTTAATTAACCAAGGCCATTTGATGTTAATGGACATCTGCCAACTACAATGATGTCAGTTCTGATATAATTAATGCTGAATGACTCCTTTTTCTTGTTGCTGATTAGCTAATTCTTAGGATCACTTCTTAGCAAAAGTGTAAATTCATTACGAAATATTCTTTTAGAAAGGTGATGTAAAATTAAAAACTATGATTGTTATTACTGTGATTTTATATCTTCCAAAGCTATAAAACCTTACTGATTAATAATATATAGGAATTTCTCAACTGTATCTTAATTTCATATGCACAGATATGTAAATTTTTATGTCTTCTAAATCTGAAAGTTGTTCATTGCATCTTATTCTCTAGATTTCACAAATAGTCATAGAACTATCTTTATTTAAAATAAGGTTCCTAGGAGGTAATATTTAGAAAGTGAGTTTAAGAGGGAAGTTACCACTTTTAATTTTATCTTAAATCCCTGTTAAATAAATTGCTGTAGAGAATTGATGTGCATTTGTTTATATTGGATAATATAAAAACCCAAAACATCTATTTTATAGTCACTCTTTCTCCTTTAATGCAAAGATCAATACAGTTGAAAACTTTAGGAAATATCTAAATAATTTTAAATATGAAAAGATCTTGCTTTGGAAGATTATTTTTGAGAAACATGCATGAATCTTCCAAAATTTAATTTCTGGCATTATTATTACTTGCATCTAGTTTAATTTGAAGCTGTTGAGATGTGTGGCCACTAGCAAGGGAGATGTTTATCTTGAGATAGAAAAATATATCAATTATTAGAAAATAAATGCAGGTGGTTTTTACTTCTTGTATAATTAATCACAATAAAAACATAGGGTAACTATATTTTCCAAAAGATGCACAAATAAAACTATAAGAAATGTAATTAGTTACATCAAAACCAAATGTACCAAAATGTTGTGATGTTCATGCTAATTGAAGACATTTTAAATCTACTCAATTCTTTTTTCCTGAGCGTATTTAGGAAATATATGTGAACTTTAGTTCTTCTATGTACTAACAGAGTCTTAGGAAATGTCTACTGATTTATATGTTTGTACTTAAAAGTATAGGTTTTTGGAAGGAAAATAATTATATATGTTTACAAAATAACTATTAATGGAAATAAGTATCCACTTTACTCACTTTGAAGAAGCCAGCTTTACAACTTATGGACATTGCAAAATTGTTATGATGTAAAACTGAAACATTGTACTTTAGATATCCAGAACTTTATAAATCATTTCATTAGCATGTGTCAAAGGCCTATTTAAGTAAAGTAGAAAAATAATGATTTCCAGTAGCCAAAATTGTGAAATCATTTTAAATACTTTCTCTAAATAGTTTTCACAGTTAGTAAAGAATCTCTGGATATAAATACAGGTGTAATAAAATTTAACTTTTTCCTATTGATTTTTAATGACAGTTGAGAGTAAGATTTGTGCAGGTTCTTATGTACTGGGTGAGAATTTATTTTGCCAGTGATACACTTGTGGCACTTAGAAGTCAGACCCCTTGTTTGGGATTTTGTATTGCTTTGTTTTACTACCACTGCAGTTCTGGCTGTTGTTTTTATTGTTGTTATTATCTTTTATCAATATGCTCTATATACACATATTTAAATATATGTGCCTTATTGAAGTACTAGATAATTTAGCAATAATGGGTTTTCTAGTCTCTTTAGTAGTATTTCATAGTTATAATGTAGCATTTATTCAAGTAAGATGCACCAGGCTTATTTCTCTTGAGGTAATCCCTAAATTTTACTCAAATGTTCATTTTTCTATTATTAGCATTTTAGATAACATTATAGATTTTTTTCTTCTTATACTCCAATCTTTGTTTTGAATTGCCTTCAGATATTTGTATAGAGTATCATAGTGATTGTACTCACAATCTTTACTTTTGTCAGTGGGATTATAATCTTATTTTAGGGAATTAGTAGCTTATATTTGTATTTCCTTGTAGATGTTAAATAAGTAATCAAGAAACAGTCTGTAGTGTTGACACCACATTACAGTATATAAGAATTTCTTAAGTATAATTTTCAAGAAAAATTTGTATTTCCACTTTCATTTTCTCTTTCCACATCTGAATTCTAAATTTGGCTTATCATCACATCTCTCATTTTAATGTAGAATGATTGCATTTAAGTTTCTGCATAGATTGTTTTAATTTGCCCGAATTCCCTCATATCTCACGTTTTCCCACAAAATTATGGTCAGTGAATTGCTTTGTGAAAAGATATAACATAGAAAAGTTCATAAATAATATTTTTAGTATCTTTAGGTGACTCCTCAAGTAACAAGAAAATGTGAGTAGTGACACACCCTTGAGACTTCTGTGAGCATAGAGACTATAGGATAAAATGATCTCTTAAAGCATTGGGCCATATGCTGGATTAGGCTACAGACACATTTTGTCTCATACACTTTAAAATTAATTCAATTCTTTAAAAAAATTACATTATGTAATTTATTAACAACCTCTTGAAAAATCAGAAGCTTTCATAACTGGAGCCCACATTCCACATGGCAGGTATCTCCTAGTGCTGAATTTCACTCACTCCTCCAGGTAGGTCCCAACCCCCCCTCCATGGCTTCCTCATCTATTTAGCTTATTTGTCTCATACCTCTAGGCATTGATGTTTCTTCCCTGATTTTAGAACTGATATATTAAGTTACCTCTGTACTTATCTATACCTATTTTCCAAACCACTTCACCAGAAGGAGGTCTAGAAGCTGAGGAGGAGACCCCTTTATATATTAATTGAACAGACTTACCAGCAAGCCATCTGGTCACTGTGTACTTACTTTGCCCAGGAATAAAAAGGAGAGTGCACACACTACCATGTACCTACTTAATTCATTATTTAGGAGGAGAGGTTTCTTAACGGAACCAAACAGAATTATAGGATTAGACAAAGCTTGTGTCGCTGAACAAGAATGAAACATTAAAACCTACTGGGAATTTGTTCGAGGCAAATTAAAAGTGCACACACACACACACAAAAACAGTTTAAGAAAAAGTTAATTAGATTTCTGAGATGTTTTGAATCAATGTCAATTTATTATTAGTGTTAGGCAGGGAGAAAAGAAAAAAATATAGAGCAAGCAATTATTATGCTGAGAGTGACCATTTCATACTGTCCATGCTTTTAATTCTTGACAACACTGTAGTCAAGTTTGGTTTAAGTCAGATATTATCACAAGACTGTCTTCTTTCTCAGATTTGTGGAAGTTGGGGCAAAAATAAAAGGGAATAAAACTAGAGAAATGGAAGTTATTGCCCATATGTATGTATATATGTGTTTCTAGGTTAAGAAATCATTTTTTATCTGAATATTAGAATGTAGTCATCATTTCCCATCTATCTGATCCTTCTTGGCTTCCATTGTTGTCCCTGCCAGTGTTTTTGTATTTCCATTTTAGAAGTATGCATTTTCCATTTGCTTTACTAGTTCCCTGTTTGTTATTTATCTCCCTCTGTTCCTCTTTTTTGCTTTTGATCTTTTATCTTCTTTTGTCTCCTTCTCTCCGTCTGAATGATTGTGTTAGGTCACCCATCGGGAAGGTACTTTAGGAAAAAATAGATATGCTTTCAAAAAGTACATTCCCAGAGGCATCAAATTAATGAGTATCTGGCCTTTGATACCAAAAAATAGAGGGAGAAAAGATGATGAAGGCAATTAGAAATATGAAGCACTGATTATTGGTAGCCTTAAGCATCAGTCCAAACATGGAGTGTGCCCTTGTACAGAGAGGGAGAGGGAAAGACAGACAGACAGACACACACAAACACATGGACTCACAGGTCAACAGACCAGAGAGTGAATAAAATAACAGGATGTTGGGATGCTAGAAACCATTCTTGTAGATCTCTTTAGACTTTCATCTTTTTAAACAAAATACTTAATTTTCAGTCTTCTGCAGAGTGACTACAAAAGGAAAAGAAAGAAATGCATTTTATATCTTCAAAGACTTCTTATGAAAGTGATGTTTCAAATATTTAAAAATTGATGTTGAACAGTACCTACCTATGATACTATTTTATAGATCTCTTTTAATGTTTATGCTCATTTGCCAAAAACAATTTAGATTGTTTCTCCTCTCGTGTGAGTTTTTATTGTTTTTGTTCTTAATTAAGTTTAAATGTAATTCTCATGTGAGATTGTGGGAATATGTATGCATGTTCAGCTTTGAGACATGCCATGATATTGGGGGTGATGATCAAACCTTTTAAAATCCAGCAAGGCATGGTTAAAAAACCTGAGCAGACATTTACCAAGGACCATGTAAGGTTACTTACATTATCGATGCCCTGAAGTATACCAGTCTTGTGTATTTTGGATAGAAGACCTTATGAGACAAGGAGGAGTTAACTAGAAGGTTGGGGTCCATCTTGAACTGGACATCTTAAACTGGATAGATGTCCCATTCTTCATTACATTCAATTTGTATCTCTTCCAAATAGTCTACTACATGACTAATTTGAAATTTATAGATGACCTTCATTAAGTTGCTACATTTCTGATAAGTGTATTCTATAAATATTTTAATTTATGTATTAATTTGACTATTCCATAGGAACAATATTTATATTAAGTCTATTAAGTCATTTGAAGTCATTTAATGATTAGAAGTGTTAATGGAGTGAAGGTAGGATTTTCTAAGCCTAGTTGGAAATAATTTTGAAAGTCCTAGACAGTAAGTTCCCACTCAGTTGTAAAATCACATAATAAATGCACTATGAGATTATGTCCCCATTGAGTTGTAAAATAACAATAGTTTTATGTCTTTATACCTTGTTATGATGTAGGCACCCATAATTTAGGTGATATTTATTTCAAGTACATTATACAAATCATCTCATTTGATACTTATAGTAGTATTATGAAATATATAATTTTATTCTGAAAATCTCATCCAGAGACTGAGACAGTGTATATTTGAAAACTCTTTATGTTGTATAGATACTAAACTAGTGAAGGACAAGGACAGCATTCATAATGGTTTTGACTCTTGAAGAGAGAAAATAGGCTTTAGAGACACCTTAACTGTACCGGGGACCTGGCACTCCAGTAAACAGATACATGTGGACACATTTTGAAAGTTTTAAATAAATGAATTAATGGGAGAACTGTGAATAATCATGGAGATGGTGAGCTCAATCATTGCCTGTCTATTTTCAGTACCAGGGCAGCCACTGAACTTTAAAGCAGAACCTGAGTCTGAGACAAGTATTTTGCTCTCTTGGACACCTCCACGTTCAGATACTATTGCCAACTACGAACTGGTCTACAAAGATGGGGAACTTGGAGAAGAGGTATGACTGTTTTTCACCTTCTTAACCATTCACTATACTATAGAGGACATTGGTGGAAAAGATATATCTATCAAAAGAGGAACCTGACCCAAAAAATTTTACCTCTGAGGGGTGTAGGGCAAAAAATATACAACTATTGTCCCTATTTGAACTCCTTTCTGTTCTGGTGTCCATGTTTCTTCTGCAAGTATAATGTTGCAAAAGAATATTCTCTACGAGACTAGTCATCTGCCTTTATTTCTTCTTTGTATTAAAGTGCATAAGTCACTAAACACATGACTACATGATTTCCAAAACTTTGGATACATGAACTTGTCTAAACTGGTTTCATGGAAAGATGCCCATAGAAAACATTTATTTCTATGTCAAGAATTATTTGATATGGTGATGAGTATATATATAAAGTCCAAGTATGCTATGCAAATAAAACCAGCATTATAGAAAGCTAGAAATTGTTGATAGTGAAAAGAGAAAAAAAATCAATTTAAATACTATGTACACTAGCAGGCACTATCCTAATGGTTTTATACACATGAGCTCACGGCATCTTTACAAAAAGTGCTATTTGTTAGCCCCCATTGTTAATCTGTTTTACATATAACAAAAGAAAATGCAGGAATAAGTTAAAAATTTGCCTCAAGTCTTGCACTAGTGAATGGCAGAGCTGGAATTTGAATCTCAGTCAGGTTCCAGAATATCTGTTCTTAACTGCTAGGTATACTGCCTCGTGGGTATACTTTGAAGAAAGCATAGAAATCAGTGTAAGATATATCTAACCTTTCCTGAATAAGAATATCTAGTGGTGATAAATATATTTCTTCTGTTATTGTGAAACCAACAGGGAATATCAGGAACAAATGTTAGTGCAACTCTGAGAACTCAATGTACAGAAACCATTTTACTTAAAAATATCTTTTCAAAGCTTAACAGCCCCTAATTTCATAAATCATATGCTAAATGTACTGTTATCAATTAGCTTACACTATGTCATTTTGAATACTATACAATAATTTAATATGTTCCTGTAAACTTCTGTTTTATTATGTATGTGAATTGAGCAAAATCTCCTCCTAAGACCAGATTTTAAGTGCAGCACTTTTAGAGTTAGCTAAGAAGCCCAACATAAACTAAGCACTCAAGCAGTGGCATAATTTAATTGCTGATATAACCTCACGTGCTCCTCTTAAAACTCTTGGTGTTCTGAATATGGCATAAATCAGCACATGTGTGAATTCTTAGCATCACCCAACTGAAAAAGATGTAAGATAAAGAGTAAAGGAGAATGGCAGTCCTCTGGGAATGCTGTGGAAGCCTGAATATTGGCACTCTTACCTTGCTTTTACAATTGTTTATTTAAGGAATCCCTTTTTTAATCTTGTTAAATGGCAAATCTAAAATTTCTGAAAGCTTTTGTATTTGCAAGCTAGGCACCCTCGAGATGTTTTCTCTAGTTTAAATTTGAATTCCCCTTGACTGATTTTTGTTTGTATGAAGAGTGAACACTACATGTTAAAAAGCCTTAAGACTCTTTGTGTCATTACTAGACTACATATTTAACGTACATTTTAAGGTTTACTACAGGCTAGTGTTCAGTCTTAAATTTATTACCCATTGACAACTATAATTTTTCAAAAATGGAAAGGCAGGTTCCAGACATGGAAAGTAAAAGTTATAGCATTTGATTATAAACCTATTTCAAAAGCCCTTTATGAATTTAAAAGTTGTTTTTAAAAGTGTGGGTTTTTTTTTCTACTAATGGGGTCTAGATGCAAAAAAAAGGGGAAGCATTAAAATTATTTTAAATTAATATTTTTTTATTTAATATCCAGTAATCTGATTTTACTCCCATCAGAACCTGACAATTGCAGATCACTTTATTAACCACCTTATGTTAACCCTATACTAGTTTCTGTTGCTACTTCTGGCTTTATTTTCTTCGCCCCCTGTTTTGATTGCAGGAGGTCTGAGAAATGAGCTAACTGGCTGTTGGACTGAAATTGCATGTGTTGGACACTCCAAGTGAGGCACAGGTGTCACTTTGCAGTTGAGCTATGTCACAGCAATACCTGTGCCTTAAGGGCAGAGCACATTGGTGGCAGTGGCTTTTCTATCTCCCTGCTACCTGATGCATTCATGTAACTCGTCATCCTTAGAAAAGATAGAACTGATTTCCCTTACTATGGTTGCCATGTTAGTTGTAAAGACTTGCCTTTTAAATATCAATTGTTTCATTAAATAAGTCCTTGGTATTCACTCTTGATATACGTGATATTTTGAAAATACTATATAGCCCAGATGACGGAAATATGATATATTCTGGGCAGTGTGGTAATAAAGAATATTTGCAGGAATCTTATTGAAGATGACCAAGTTCTCTTGCTACTTATCCACAGCAACGAATTACCATTGAGCCGGGGACATCTTATAGACTGCAAGGGCTGAAACCAAACAGCTTGTACTATTTCCGTCTGGCTGCACGGTCTCCACAAGGCCTGGGTGCTTCAACAGCTGAAATATCAGCTAGAACCATGCAGTCAAGTAGGTTTCTCTCTTTGCTTACCATCTGCCTTTTTCACTAGGAGATGTTGCTGACTTTTACTGCCACTACCAAACAAACCTGCACATTAATATGCTTAGTAGTCAGTAGTCTCTGCTAGCAAGAGCCCGTTTGAGAGATTATTGTACAACAGTGAATTCTGTTGGTTTCAAACTTGGAGCAAATTGCAGATGTCATGATCCCACTTCCTAAATCAAAGGATTCTGAGGAGTTAAGAGTTTCCCTGAGAAAAGTGGGTGAAAGAAATTCCATCAGACCCATTTAGTGAATTATAAGGCTTTAAAACAAAATTCAGTTTGAAAACACTGTGAAGTAAGCAGAGTAGGGCTTAGGAAATTTCAAGAGCCCAGATAAAAACCAAAGTTTTATGTTTGTTAAGCACATAGGTTTTAACTTTTCTAACAAGCCAACTTTTTTTCTATGTATTTGTTCCTAATCAGATAAAAGCTTAACTCTTGTGACTTGTTTTAATATTGCATTTAATATTGCACATGTGGAAATTTGGAATATGCAGAAAATCTATATTTCAACAAATTTAGGAATAATGGAATAATCACCAGTGCAATTGCAGTCCTAAATTATATTTTATTTCCTCAGGTCCAATTACTTTTGGGAACTGTTACTAAAAACATAGTTGTGTTTATATGTCAATGGGAGAATCTTTGTATTGAGGGGAAATTGTTTTGCATATTCTATGGGAGATTGTGTTGATGAAAAATTTGATGGCTTATAACAGTATTATTATTTGTTCCTTATTAAAATCTTTTTACTATTAGTTTATTTAACAACCATTTACCTTGAGTTGAAAAGCTTTATGGAAATTTTCCTTAGATTTTTTAAAATCTTTTGTGCCATTTTTGATACAATGATATATTTAATAACTTTATATAATATGAATATATTGAATTTTATAAAGCACACTACTGACTTAATTTTTAGACAAACATGAAATTTATACTTTAAAAGATTGATTTTCTTTCATATAAGCAAATCTCATGTCATTTCATTTTCTATGGAAACTTTTGACCTTTCAGGGTTTTCTTGATGTTCAGATTCATATTCTCTCTTAGCCAAAACATAATCATTCATAAAAAAAGTATTAGGATCCTGATGCATAACCCATTAGTGATTTTCAATTATTCCCATAGAATTTCCTTTCTCTTAAAAACTGAAGCATATATATTAATGCAATTTTGAATGTTTTGAATTCCAGGCAGTCTAGTAAGTAATACTGTGGAAGATAATGCTTAATATCAGACACTTAAATAAAGGAAATGAGACATGTTTCAATATTATCTTTTCATAACTTACAAATTTGACATTTTAAGTGTGTGTGCGTGTGCACACACACACACACCCCGAGGACACAATGGGCTTTTTCATAACCACATCAAAATCTTATTTATTATTAAATTTCAAATTTGTGTTCATTATATTACCACAGAATAGGAGATCTGATGGTCCAATGTAGTATAAACCAAATTAGCTTTTGAAAAGATTCATAAATGAGTTCTTATTGTTATATGAACAACTCAGTTTATTATAAATAATGATAATGTCTATGAAAGTTTTATAATTTGAAAAATAAGCCTCAAGTCACAATCAATAGAAACAGTATTCAAGTGATTTTGCAAATCCTATTCCAAATTTAAAAGGTTGTGTTAGGAGGATTTTCCTTTTATTAGTAAAGGGTATTTTTCATTGGAATTGACTGTCTTGAAGAATACAAGACAAGAATAAATGAAGGTTGATGATCCTCTAAACAATTGGATAACCAGATACTATATAATATTAATACTCACAGACACTAGGACCCAAACTACATATTCAAATATATACATTAGAATTGATTTACACATTCTGCCACATATTGCCTTATGAAAATATGTGTGGGTGTGTGTGTATGTGTTCAAATGCATTTATAGGTATAATCCCATTTGTTGGTTCTTCTTTCATAAAATATTAAAATTAATGTATGGGGATAGTGCACTGCTTTTAACGCTTTTGATTTTTTTTCAAATAAATGTTTAGTTAGTTTGGCAGGAAATAATTGCTCAGAAGATGACTAGTTTCACTTGAAAATGGGCAGTAAGAAAGCTTATATTTTAACTTCGGTAAAATGAATAATTATGCACAAAATGAAAGGAATGTTGACATAAGTCAGATCTTTGCCAGTAGTTCTCAGAGTTTTTTCTTTAAATGATTCTTTTTAATGGTTGTGTTATTGACCTTTTGTAAGGGATAGATGATTATTATTGATTTTACCAAAATTTGCTGGTGGGGTCTAATTCTTTGCTAGCAATGGTGTCTCAAGAAGAGTTATAATATAAAAAGCTGAAAGCTGACGTAGGGTAAGTACAAGTTACAGTCAGAATCAACAAGCCTGCCATTATCCTCGGGTAGGTAAACCTTGAAGTCTGCATTTCATCCTTATTGATTCTGCATGCTCCCTGTATTTGGGCTATGATCAATGTTAGGTTAAAACTTTTCATTAAAACTGCTTAGGAAGACTCAGTTTTTCAGATAGTCAGAAGGGAGCCTTTTATGTATGTTGGGCTTTTCTTTCCTTTTATTTTGTAAAAATTGTGTTTGGTGGAAGGGCATTTGACAGTTATTGCAACTTTTTGCACTTACGGTCCCTTTCACAAATGAATACTGTTATGAACCGCCCTCGTTCTAGAATGTAGATGGGAAAGCTTGAAACAGATTCTGTGAAGCATCATCTGACTCTCTCAACCTAAATCTTGCACTATTTGCAGCTTTTTTGAAGTTGGATAGTCTGTAGTAGGGCTGGGGAATACTGAGGGATTTGGTTTAGAAGAAGAATTTAAATCGCAGGTAGGTAATTTTATTTGAGGCTCTTTTATCTCAAGATTCATTTTCACATTCTCCCCCCACCCATTATTTAACAATTGCTTTTGGTCATTTATTCATTTTTGGTTTATTCATGTTACTAAGCCAAGGTGCATAAATTTATCTTTAAAAATTCATTTTAAGTTTCAAAGCCTTATTTCTGTTTTGTTGGCCTTACTGTTCGTTTATTTATTTTGCCTTTTCTTTTGTTTTATCATTTTTTTTCCACCCACTCCTGTCCTTTCACTCAAACCCTCCTTTAACTCACTACCAAAATAAGAGCCGTCAGCTCCTCCTCAAGACATTAGTTGCACCAGCCCAAGTTCCACTAGCATTTTGGTAAGTTGGCAACCTCCACCTGTGGAAAAACAGAATGGCATTATCACTGAATACTCAATCAAGTACACCGCAGTGGATGGAGAAGATGACAAACCTCACAAGATTTCGGGAATTCCTTCGGACACTACCAAATACCTTTTGGAACACCTGGATAAATGGACTGAGTACCGGATCACCGTGACAGCCCACACAGATGTCGGCCCGGGCCCGGAGAGCTTGTCTGTGTCGATGCGAACAGATGAAGACGGTATGTTGCTTCTGCTACGTCAGTCTGCGCCCTCTGACCTCCGACCCCGCCTTGGTCGGCTGTGTTTTCATAGCCCCACAGTAATCTGCTTTTCTCTGCTCATCTTTTTACTCAGCGTCGCTTTTACGTCAGCATTTTGGCCAAAGACCTGTCTTTACTGCAGCCTGGGTACTTTTTTTTTTTTTTTTTTTTTTTTTTCCCAATCTCAACAGAGCATTTTGCTTCTCTTTAAAAGAACAGTTTGCTCCTGTGACCTGCAATCCAGGTCCTTCACTGTACTTCCATCTAAATAAAGTCTTCTGTGTTTTTCTTTACTTTTTATAGTCATTTCTTCTACATTTTGAAGTTAACATTTCAAAACTGTCTATCTTCTTGTTGCCTTTTGTCTTGCATATTTTAGAGACACTGATGCTCGACTTTGAATTTTTGGCATCTGTTGTATGGAATACCTTTGATAACAGAAAAAAGAGAAGAGAACCCATATAAACAAGAATCTTTTTTATTCTGCTATGAAAAAGAAACTTTTAAAAAACACACAATAATCAACAGTTTTTGTTATTATTTCAATGCTATACCTCTTTGTGCTTTAATGCTTTGAACCTCAAAGCATCTTCCTTGGCTTTTGTACATTTTTTTACATGTTTTTCTATTTCTCTGATACTCTTTTTTTTTTCTTCCACTTTTTTTTTTTGGCATTGGTCATGTTTTTTGATCTTTTCTTACAAGGTAGAGCAGATTGGTTGAGCATTTTCATTGGTTGAAAATGTTTGTATTCCTCAAAGGAAACATAGTGGGTCTTCCCATTTTTTTAAAAAAAAAAACCTAAGTAAAGAAAATGCTCTGACTGGGTGGGACAAGTGCCTATAATTTTCTTTTATCCGATGATGTTGTTCCAGTTCCTAGTGGTCCTCCTCGAAAAGTCGAGGTAGAGGCTGTCAACTCAACATCTGTTAAAGTCTCATGGCGCTCACCTGTGCCCAATAAACAGCATGGCCAGATAAGAGGATACCAGGTGCATTACGTGAGGATGGAAAATGGTGAGCCCAAGGGCCAGCCCATGCTGAAGGATGTCATGCTGGCTGATGCACAGGTAAGCCTCTCATATCACTTACCTGCACTTTTCTAGGATACAATTAAAATGAGTCCCATTTTGAATTTTTTGCCATTTAAAAAAATCTTGCACAGAATTCTAGTTTTCAAATATGATGCATATTTACTTTTCAATCAAAGTTAAATCAAGTGAGGAAGTGATTTGTCATGAGATCAAACTCATCTGATTAAAAACGTAGATCTGTTTTCTTAAAATACAGATCTTCAGCTCTCCACAGCAGTATCTGAGGTTGCCTTTCTGACTTCAAAAATAGACTTAATCAAATCGAAGGGAGGAATTCTTAGCAGCAACTTTGCTGATTGGGTCTACTTTCGACTTTGGTAAAACTACTTGGGACTACATTGACCTAATTTATAAATGTATAACTTCTGTCATTGAAGAATAGACATTCCTATTCAGGGAAAATTTTCCAGAGAGTATTTTATTTAGTACTTCTTTATCAAATTACTTACTTGATAGAAGGAATTGTTTTATTTCCCAGAAAAAAAAAGATAATGATGATAGAAATTAGATTGGACATTCCCAGGGAATAAATGGTATCATCTATATTGAGCCACGTGAAGAAAAGTATTAAGAGTGGCTGAGATGTGAGAATTTACGTTGGCTGTTGAGAAGTACTTTAAACCATGGAGTCACCATTTGACTTAGTAATAAGTTGTTTTAAATAGACTGTCACAAATTTTCAAATTTTTTCATGAATCACAAGGATTTGGAGATAGTGCCATCACAAAGCCACCTGTTTTCCACTTAGCTTTCTAAAAGGGAGAATATTTTAATGAATAACTGTTATTCTGGAGGTTATATTTAACCCAAGGGACTAGTTTGCCTATGCTGGCTTCTGTGGTGATGGAATATTAGATAAGGGAATCCTTTTCTTACTCCATAAATTGGGGGCTGGAATTGGAATAAAATGGAGTTGTGAAAATTTGAAATGTTCCTTCCATTGTGTGAAAGTAAAGAAGATTATGAATACAGTTGAAAACTGACACATCAGGTTGCCAAATTTTTCATTCTTCTATGTGTGTTACTGAGACATCAATGAACATACGTGTGACTCTCAGGAAAGTATGGACTATAATGTCTTAATGTCATCAACTCTCATAAGTGCTTATTTGCTTTTCAATTTTCACAGTTTAAGTAAAGGGATTTGGACTAATGGCCTAGTTATCTGTTCCATATTCAGTATATTTTTTTTTAATTGAAGGCCACTTTTGTAAATATAGTTGGAGGTGGTTAGTGTCCTTCAGACTCTGGATAATAAGTTATTGATTTGTTTTTTCCTAAATATTTATTTTGTATGCCTATAAAATAGAAAAATCTCATGGTATGAAATGAATGAAGCCATTAATGCCTATGTTTTATTAAGTCAGCAATTTATTAAGAAAAACAAAATGGTATTGCCATCCTGCTTTGATGTCCTTCAGCTCTCAGATAATTTCATATTATAGAACTGGAGTTCTGTCTCTGTTATCATTGTGAAATATGGTAGTTGGTGCAGTTATATGATATGAAGTACCTTAAATGTCAACTCAGTCACTTTTCCCTCTCTCTTCTACTTTGCCTTATCTTGATTAATTGCTGGTTTTTCTTGGTATTTTTTGTTTGTTTGTTTGTTTGCTTGGTTTTGTTTTTTTGTCCATCTCATATATTCTCTTTAACTATTCATTTAAATTTTTATTACATCATATAGTCCTCTACTGGTGCTGTTACTATTTCAATATTTATGGAAAATTTTCATCTAATCAGTGACTTAAATTCACTGTGTAAGCTAAGAAAGAAGTCAAAATAAACTTCACAGAGTAATGCATGATAAAACCACTAGCTATGTGCTGTTCCTTACTGATTCATTGCAATGAATCACTCATTAAAAAAATACACCAGCTGGCATTAACAATAGCAATACAGAACATATTTACATTTGACCTCTCAGTTGGGGGTAAGTAAGAATGGCAGCATAATACACACTCTGGAATTTTATTTTACACACTGCTTTAATTACCTACTCTTTCAAAACTTTTAAAAATCTAAGTAGGGCACCATTACCTTTATAAGACTACAAATTTCTCTTCATTTCTTTTTATTTTGTTTCCCTTCTCACACTTCTTAATCTCAATCAGTGGGAATTTGATGATACTACTGAACATGTGAGTAATTTTGACTGCTTTGTCAAAAACAAATTTTAAATGCTTATCTTTTCTGATTGCTCTCTTATTTGTGATATGTCATCACAGTTTGCTTGGATGCATGAACTAACACTTTTTTTAAAATTGTCTTTACTATGTGGTTCACTTTTTTTTTTTTTTTTGATTTCTGAAATTGGCATGATTCCTCTGATTGCATAAGAAAACTCATGAGCTTACATTGTTTCAGTGGCTGTTATTAACCCTGCCATACGCAACAGTTAGAGGATGCATGCTTAAAATGGAGGCATTGCAGACCAGAGTGGTCAAGTGGTTTGGTATAGGTTGCTCCTAAATCCTTCTCCTGGGTTACACATTCAGTGGATAACAGATAGGTCTGGCACTAATTAACTCTATCTAGAAATGGCATTTCTTTATTACCATGTGCCTACCCAGGTTTGAGGGAAATTAAATAAGCTATTCCAAGAAGCAGAACTACCTCATGGAATGTAATTATTGTTTTTTAAATATTTGAGTTAATAAGTGTTGTTACTGGGAATTTCTTATGTGTAAGATGAAATGGAAAATGCAGATGTGACCTCTGCCTTCTGAGTTCTTACTGTCTAGAAAGCTAGGAAAATTGTAGTTACCTAAAATTTAATGAAAACATGCCCCTCAAGCAATTTATAATAAATTAGTTAATAACTGACAATGTCAGTAAGAATTATGAGTTCAGAGGCAGTAGAACAGAATAGTAAAAGAGGTCCTAAGCTTACTTGAGAAATTCAAGGATAGGTAAGGATTGAAGAAGCAAAAATGTATATGTGTTTGTGTGTGTGTATGTGTGTGTGTGTGTGTGTGTGTGTGTGTCGTAGAGTTGGAGATGGGAACATATTTCTCACAGATGAATACACTGCAGGTACACATTGAGGCACTCAAGAGTATAAAATCATCAGGTAGCAGTGAGCTTTCCAATTTGATGTGAATGACTGATCATGTTAGTAAGTTAGTAAAAATATGCCTAAGAGATAAATTTTAATAAGAAAATCTGTAGTGTCAAGTTAAAGAGCTAGGCTCTGCAGTAATGGAGAAATAGAGAAAGTTACTAAAATAAGAAATAAGTTACAGACTTAATTGAAGATATCCCTTCACTTTGTAAATATTTTTTGCCAAAGCACTTGGATGTTGCTGGTAATTTCAGTAAATATGATTGGCAAGGTGTCAGTTCTCATGGAATCAACGATAGAGCCGTGCTATATAAACTTATGTGAACATGATGCATAGGAAGAAATACATTATATGTCATGACCAGTGAGTGTATATTCTTAAAATGAAGGTTTTACAGAATAGCACCTTACCTGTAGATATATGTAAAGTTTAATATTTTGTATTCAACTGTATATGATTCTTTTTTGGTGCTGGTCATGATTGACTAAACTAACTTTATGGGCAACTAAATGGACCATTACCTGAAGCTTAAAAACGAGTAACTTAGTGAATGGATAAGTAAAAAGGAAAGCAAAAGTCATTTTTTACTAAACTATGAAATGACATGAAGTAAAAATTTGACAAAATTGAAATAGCAGAAATGAAAAAAGAACAGGTATGATGAATATTTTAAAGGAAGAAGTGACTACTTAGAGGGAGAAAAGAGCTCAAAGTGAAAGTGAAAGTTTTGAAGATGTGCTATTGTTCATTAAAATACAGCAGTAGGAGGAGTCTGCTTCGGGGAGTAATGCTTAAATATTAATTAATTTGAACTTGAGGTAACACTTGACAGTCAAGGTAAACTACCCAGCAGCTATTTCCAACTACAGGCCACTGGTGCCCTGGTGGGAATTCAAGTTTTGAGGTGAAGGTAGGATAGATGAACAAGTTATCCCATATGATTTGGAAAGAGTGTTGTTTCTTCTTAGGGCTAGAGAGAAACACAGTGGACAAAAACTCAGGGAATGCCAACTTTTAACAGGCAAGATATTATGTTATAGACTCTTTCTTTTAAGCAGGAGACCTAGGATAGATAAAGACAGAGCATGAAAATCTGTTACTGCAGCCATACTGCCCAAGAGTGCATAAGAAGGCACCAAGGCAGTTACCCCAAGGCTTGAAGAAGGAAAATGTAACCCAAGAGATATGATTCAAGCAGATAGAGTTGTGTTCAGCCAAGATCATGCCACTGCAGAGGACTTGACCATTTTTTTTTTAAATATTAAATTTTATTTTTATATTCCCCCATACAATTGCAAACGCCCCATTCTGACCCCAATCCTTCCCCTCCCGCCCCCCACCCCCCAAAAAGTGTCTCTGGTTCATAGTTTTTTGTTGATTTTGATTTTCACTTTCTTATATTCATTTTCCTGGTCCCTTATTTAAGGACTTGACCATTTTTTAAGCACATTACTTATGTTATCTTGTTACAATCTGTGTGAGGAGGACATGTGTGGTTAACCCCAGTTTTCTAACTGAGAAGCTTATATAAGGCTTAGTGTATATACACTTTTGGTGTTGGAACCAACCACTGCTTAGTTTTCCTCCGAGCCTGGCCTGCTTTCAGGAGCAATCCAGTACCATGTGAGAAGGAGCTGGGAAACAATAATGTTGGCATTTGCCCATCATAATTTTTGGAATAGCCAGTGTCTACCATAATTTACAATACCACTCGGGTGGTTCACTTGGTTTTTACATTCTCTGTAATGTTAGTGAAACTATTACATAGTCCTGAAAATAAAATGTCTCTCCCAAATTTAGTCCATTCATCTGGCAGAGTATTTCCAGTGGCTCTTCAGAATAGCCTCTGAAATTCCGTAATTGCTATACTGATAATAGCACTGCTCTTGTCAAAAGCTGTCATATTTGGGATCAGATTCAACAATTGAGTTTGGCAGTGTCCATTATAGCCTTGTACAGGAAAACCCTTCTGTCCTTAGCACATTCCAATTCATTCACCAGCTATCATTTGCATTGTCTTTCAATGTGGAAGACGATGACAGAATTTCTTAATTTTATCTATATAAAATTATCCATATAAATTTGAAAATGTAGCTGTGCCAAAAAGCTGAATGGTTTTAATTGCTCTGTGTGTATGTATGTGTGTGTGTCTATGCGTGTGTGTATTTAGAAAAGATACCAGAACAAATTACTAGCCAGTACACTACAGAATCATGTAACCTGCAATTTGGAAGAATAGCTCTAAGATGATCTCGTTTTATCACCATCAAAGCTTTGGACCCTTAGGAAGCGCTGTAATAAGCAGTTGGTGATATGTAACATTTTTTAAATAGTCAGAATTCATTGAACATATAATTGTGCTGTGGTTAAAATAAGCTCTCTTATTTGGTTTTATGGCCTTTTCTGCAAACCACTAGAACAATGTCCTTAGCAAATATAGTTTTGGTACATCACCTATACAATTAGCCATAGATGTGTTCCTTTCAGTCCTATGAAAGTTCTCTGATGCTCATGATATTTAGGTCCAACAGAGCAGCCATTTGGTAAAATGTATGGTGGCAAAACAAATAACTTTAGCATGAGCCCTATCACCAGACAGGGGGCTGGACTACACTGAATGCAGAGGCAGAGATACTGGCATAAAACAACATGGACTTCATGGGTGACTCATTTTGGGCAGGCAGAGTTTTAAGTATTCGATATAACTCAATTATCCTGCAGTATCCCTGTGAGGTCCCAGTCCAACTTTCACATGGGAAACTGAGTCAAGAGGGGTACTTATTTGCCTGTGATCACCAAATTAGTAAATAAAAAGGGGCAGGTTTAAGCTCAAGAATTCAGGGGGACTGGCTCCAGGTTTTAGATTTTTAACTACTACCCCTTGGCACTGCTTCTTAGTAAGCTTGAAGACCCTATTTCTATGTCAGCATGAAAATAGACCATGCATAGCATGAGCTTCAGGCATGAGACTTTCAGTGTGTGGCATGGCTACAGGGAATGTTCGAGCATGCACAGAATGAAGATGGATGCCTTGTTTCCCCCCATGCATTGGTGACATGTTTTCAATCTGTGTCATTCATTGTTTCATTACAGGACATGATTATTTCTGGGCTACAACCTGAAACTTCCTACTCCCTCACCGTCACAGCCTATACCACCAAAGGAGATGGTGCTCGCAGCAAGCCTAAACTTGTGTCCACCACTGGGGCAGGTAAGCACATCTGTGCACATATGTGCCTCAAACATATTCTAGGCAATGATCATGCCATAGTTTCAAATGGGCCTCCCTGCTGGCAGAGGGGTTAAGTCAGCAGTATCAAGCTATCACCAGGTACTGCAGCATGGGTTCAATCCTGGCCAGGGAGCTAACTGACATAGCACACCAGACTTGCCTACTGCTCCCCTCAGCGGTATTTTCAGTAGATCCACTTGTTCTGCTCCCTACTGTGTCTCTGGTGAATCCTCTCATCCCCCCACACACCTCTGCCTACACCCCAGTTCTTGTATGCATAAATAAATCTTTTTTAAAAAAGAGGAAAAAAGAGATGTGATCAACTTTTTTTTTTTTTTATGGAAAGCTTAGGAGAAAAAAAAATAAGCAGATACTCTTGAATTATTCAGTCATTCACCAAATATTTTTGAACATCTACTTGCATCAGGTGTTCTTCTCAGGACAGGAGAAATTAACAGTCAATGAAACAGAAAAAGTCACCCTGAAATTTATTTTCTGATCAGGACTAGCTAACAAGTGAACAAATCGTAATGCAGGAAGAGGCAAGTTGAAAAATAAAGGCATGTAGGCATTAAGGACGGGGGAGCCTCCAGAGACTGTTTTGGAAAAAATATATTTGAGATGAGATTCAAAAAAGGATATTTGAGATGAGATTCAAATGATATAAAAAAGCAAGTGCTGCAAGGGTCCAGGGGGAGATCACCTCGGCAGGGAAGCCCCCCAGAGACCCCAACCTCTCCCAACTCTTCCTTCAGAAGTGTTGCCATCGGAACAGCATCAATGATTTAGTTTTGTTTCTTGTCATTTTCTCCTCTTCACCCTTGCTGTGGGGATTTTGAAGAGGCTAAGTTGCATAAAAGATGGGGAACAGGAAAGATGATGAAGAGAGCAAAATGACTAAATAACTTGATGGCTCCTTTCTGAAGAATGAAACTTCTTAATGCTTTTGGGAGTTATTTCGGTCAGCCACACTAGGAACAAACAGCGTGAAGGAAGACCTGACAGTGTAAAACCAATAAATTAAGAGATAATTACAAAAGAATTCCCCCTCAGTCCCTTTATATATTGATGTCCCATGGAACATTTAAACTATGATTTGATTTACTCCTCCTGAATCACTTCTCACACAACTTTTTAGGAACACACCTCAATGTAAAGGCATAAAGCAAAGAACAGCTGTGATGTTGAGCACCCTCCTGGGTGCCATGCTCGCTGCCAAATTTGTCTAAATGTCATAAGATTTGCCTCGCTCACATCCCGCCACCTGGAACTGCCTCAAGCAGCAGGATCACAGATGGCAAAACTCCTTCAAGGCAGAGTCTTCTGGGCTTTTTCTTTTTAAATAATACCATCATATCAAGCTATTTTAGCACCCTACATAAGAGATACATGTACAGTGAGGGCTGCTGACTGACTGCCTGTGGAACCAGCCTCTATTGGAATGTAGACATCCAAAGGTAAACCCCTGAAATTGAAACGCAAAATGAAGAAAATACATTTCCTTCATCCATATTTATAACCGCATCTTAATAAGTCTGAAATGTCTTGCAGGAAACATTAAATTCCTATTGCCCATAATGAGAAGAAAAAAGTAAAGGATTTATAGCCAAGGGCTGTGAATCCTAGGAAAGGAATGATAGTGTCAGTTTAAATGCCATTAACACTAGCTCAACACTTTCTAGTCACCAAAAAATTATTTAGAATTGTGGCTCTTCTTCATGTGTAGAATTACTTTGAAAATTCTGCCAGCAGTCTTAGATCTTTCTTAATCAAGGGACACTTGGGTATTGAGAGAGTAAATGCTAATCAGTTAGATGTTTGTGTATTTATTTTCTTGACCACCCCACTGAGCCAGGCTTGAAGTTGGGGGGATCAGGTTTATAATTCTTTAGGAGAATAATTCTTTGCTGCCAATCTGCTAGTCATAAAGCATTCCCTGTTCATGGTATATCCACAGGTAATCAGTGAGTACATTGATCTATTTGGTTTTTATACTGTTACAAAAAATTTGGTTATTTATGTGACTGAAGAATTGTTCAACTTAACTCACAGAGGTGAGTTCCTAATAACCACAATTATGAGTGTATTTAGTTACATTTCCCATGGAGAATTTAGGAATTCTCATGAAATTTTATTTTAATAGTAAAATTCTTGATTCTGGGATATGTTTGTATATAATATGTTTTTCCTAGAATCTGTGAACAAGCATATCTTTGAAACCAATGGTATTGGCTCAAACTTAAGTAATCCATGTAGGATTTATAGAACCTGAAATTTGCTTTTGAATAAAATATTGTTTTTTAATGTGTCAAAGGTTATGGAATTTTTGTGTTCTTTGTTAGTATTCCCATTGTTCTCTTGCTCTGTACCATAATAATTGGTCTAGGCCTGCGGTCTTGAGGTTTACCCTGAAAAAATCATTGGTTTGAAATATTCTCTATTTTTACACTAATTTCATCACTGTAAGAGCAGCTATGTTTAAGTATGGTAGAAAGGTTGTCTACAATGTGGAGCATTTGGAAGTAATAGGCTTAGGGCAGTTAATCATGATTATTGCTACATAAGTTATAGGTTAAATTGAATCTAAATTTAGGCCCATTGGAACTGAGCACCCCCAAATAATCCGCAGTGACTGCTATTGCTACAGAATATAGGCAGCAGCACATCTATACCATTTGTGACGTTCTCAAAGATTTTTTAGAGGTAAGAATATAATAAGGGAATCGGAGAGCTGAAAAGGCAAAAGGGTGAAAAGATTATATGTCATGTCTTAAATTGGAGTTAGCTTATTTACTCTGCAGCTGGGCCCTCTCTGCTGCTTCTAGTATGTTCAATAAGACATTGCTAAAAATGATTACCGCGCTCCCCTAGGAAATTATAGAAGATTCATTCATCTTGCCAACACTTCACTCCTGTGCTGGAATAAGCAAAACCATTGACTATCCTACTGGATGACCTTTAAAATTGGCCCATATAATAACCCTAAAGTTTCAGAAAACTTGATCCAGACTCCTCATTCAGCATCATATACCCTTCCGTGCCCCTCCCCATGGAATATTTATTAATCTGAGGACATGGACCCTGCTGTATTTGTTGTTATTTTCCTACCTAAGTGTCTGTGTGCTGGTGTACAAGTCTTTGCACAAAGTGGTTGACAGATGCTTACACTTGGTGAGTTTCTGGAAGGCAGAAATACAGTGGGTTTCATTGTCAGTTTATGGAGTTTGGAGACTTCTCTGTAACAATATATGCAATGTTATAGAACTCTCCTCACTCCTTTTCTCTTTCTTTTTCTATCTTTTACTCTATGGTTGAAATACCACAGCTACCCAGAACTCTAGCACCAAATTTATTTCAACTGCGTCTATGATTCATGGAAACCTTAGCCATGCCCTTCATGTGGCTGTCCTTTCTTAAGACCATGTTGAGAATTCTTCCTTGAGTACCTTGACATTCATTTCTTTCTTGATGCCTTGGCTAGTGTTTCTTTGTGGTTCAAGGCTTATGGCCTCAGAAATTTGGGGGCTTAGTGAAGTTTGGGGCCTTTCTTCCACAAGATGGAACAACTCGGAGAGCAAATTGAGATGTTTCTGGTGTGGCTGTGGAAAGCAGTAGGTTAAAATCGACAATAATATTTCTAGAGCAATATCTAGAGTATCTTATGATTCTAAGCCCACAACCTTTATCTCTTAGGACAACCAAATGCTTGTGAGCATCAAAAGGCAAAGAGCAGTCCAACCCGAGCATGACTATCTCAGAATAGATATATATCTTCATAAGGCTAGTGAGGTATTTTCTTTACCAGTCTATTATATGTCCCTAAATTAGTACCATGACATTGTGGCTATAAACTAAAACACCAGGTAAAAAGATGTGATTATAGAGACTGATAGATATCATTAAAATGCAGCCTCTATCTGTGCCTTCTATCAGGAAATTCAAAAGCATTTTATTCTTGCTTTACATGTATCTTATAGAAACAAGATGCACAATATATCCCTGGAAAACTTTGTGACTTAATAGTTTTGTTTGTAACCAATACATTCAACTGGATTTGTTTATTTTATTGGAGGACATATTCTCTGCTGACAGCCCCAATTCTCCATTGTTTTCCTCATGGGAGTCTCAAGTGTTTAATCCTTGATATCCTTGATATTTTAGTGGGCAAATCATGTAAATGCTAGACATACATAAGGGAAACTAAGGTAGTCTCCTTAGGAAAACAAAACTATTACTTCATTAGTTAACCATGGAAATATCTTAACAAATATGTTTTTGGGCAAAACAGATTGCCACTGGTGTTTCAACTTTCTGAAATAAAAATTGAAGAGGCTAACCAGATCATTTCTAAAATGAATAATCTGTTTTGTCTCATAGTCTCTTATTGTCTTATAGAGTTTTGTTCACTTTTAACCATTATTTACATCACCACTATAATATTTTTCATTGTCTACTATTACTGTAACTGTAAGCTTTCCTTCCTGCCTGCAATCTTCCTTCCTCTTTCTATTAACTTAGTCTGGATGTTAGTAATAGTCTTCTCTCCCTGCCATCCATGGAGTATTCCCAGGGAAACCCTTGGCTCTTTATTTTTATCAAAGCATTAATCTGTAAGTTCCAGGAATAATTGCTCTTTTTTCAAAAAAATAAAAAAATGATGCAGTTATTGGGCCTCCCCGGTGGCACAGCAGTTGAGTGCTGAGTTGTGAAGCTGCCTGCAGCCTCTGCAGCACTGGTTCTATCCCCGGCCACCAGGCAAGGGTCCCACATGGAGCGCAGACCTCTTCTGGCGCCCGCTGCTCCCCTCAGCAGTGTATTTCATCAGTCTGCCTGTTCTGCTCTCTGCTCTGGCTCTGGTGAATTCTCTCACCCTACCGCACTTCTGATTGTACCCAGTGCTTGTATAAACAAACAAACAAACAAACAAACAAATAAATAAATAAAAGTTTTAAAAAAAAGTGATGCAGTTATCCATCAGATGAGATTAGAATTCTTCACATATCTCATTATTTTATATAAGAAAAAGAAATGATGTGCTAACATGAAATTAGACCCTGACCACAAAATTAATATTCTAATAATTTTTGTTAATATTAATAGACTGGAGAACCTTGTGCTAAGTCTTTAACATGAATTTTCTCATCTACTATTTACAACAACATAAGGTAGGTTTGGATATCATTTCCACGAGAACTTAATGAGGATAACAGGTAGGGATGTTAAAATTAGACAAAAAGTGCATATTAGACCCATAGTGACTCAGAGCAACATTACTTTTTAACATTTCTAATTTTTAATGTATAAGCAACATAATAAAATAGGTAAATGTTTGGGTTATGGATTCAGACAGACCTGGTTTTGTCTTACAGTTTTCTCATTTACTATACATCTGACCTTGGACAGTTTTTTTATTTCTCTGGGTCTCATTTTCTTAATATAGAAAATGAAGATGATAACTAGCAAGAGTGTGTAGTCAGGAGTGAAGATTGTAAATCAAATGAGATACAACATGTAATGCTCTTAGCTCATTGGCTGGTATGTTGCATGTACCCAATAATTAAATACAATTATTATTCATATTAGCGCTATCAAACTGGTTAGTTTTTCTCGTTCTTGAACCTTTGTGTGTGAATGTTTGAAGATGTTAAAAAATTCCCTTATTGGCCTCCCCTGGTGGCACAGCGGTTGAGTGCTGGGCTGCGAAGCTGCCCACAGCCTCTGCAGTGCCAGTTCCATCCCTGGCCACCAGAGAGGGTCCCACATGGCATGCAGACCTCTCCTGTCATGCCCGCTGCTCCCCTCAGCAGTGTATTTCTTCATCAGTCTGCCTGTTCTGTTCCCCGCTCTGGTTCTGGTGAATTCTCTCACCCTCCTGTGCTTCTGACTGTACCCAGTGCTTGTATAAATAAATAAATAAATATTTTTTAAAAAATAAAAAATTCCCTTTTTGCTTCAATAATAATTCCTGTTTTGTGTCCATTATCAAATTTTAGTATCACAGCTTAACTAATACAGTATGAGAAAGGAGTATATATTTCAAAAAGGTAGATAAATCAAGCATCAGCCTTTTTATAAATAAAGAACTGAGAATGCCTGTAGAGTGGCTTTTCCCCCATTTGAATTGATTGAAATATGAGTATCCTACTAGGCTGATCTGACCCCTAATCCTGTATGCTTCAGTTCCAGGGAAACCCCGGCTTGTGATTAACCACACTCAGATGAATACCGCACTCATTCAGTGGCACCCTCCTGTGGACACATTTGGACCTCTTCAAGGCTACCGTCTAAAATTTGGCCGGAAGGATATGGAGCCTCTCACTACTCTTGAATTCTCTGAAAAAGAAGATCACTTTACAGCTACAGACATCCACAAAGGCGCATCGTACATCTTCAGACTCTCAGCCAGAAACAAAGTGGGTTTTGGGGAGGAGATGGTGAAGGAGATCTCTGTTCCAGAAGAAGTCCCAACTGGATTTCCTCAAAACCTCCATTCAGAGGGCACCACTTCAACCTCCGTCCAGTTATCTTGGCAGCCACCTGTCCTGGCAGAGAGAAATGGCATTATCACCAAGTATACCCTTCTGTATAGGGATATCAACATCCCTCTTCTTCCAATGGAGCAGCTTATTGTTCCAGCTGACACCACTATGACACTCAATGGCTTAAAACCAGATACTACATATGATGTAAAAGTACGTGCTCACACGAGCAAAGGGCCCGGGCCATATAGTCCCAGTGTCCAGTTCAGGACACTGCCTGTGGATCAAGGTAGGATTTGTCTGCTTATGGCCTTCCTCCTTTAAAGGAATGTCGGTCTTTGGAAATCAGTATTTTGAAGTTATAAATAACCGATCGGCCCATTCATATTAATAGGTTCAGCAAAAGCAAAAAGGTAAAGTATGTCAAACTTAATCTATTTTGGACGCCTTAGATTTCAGTTATAGAATGCCAAGCAAGTCTGGTTGACAACACCCTAACTAATGTCCTCAGGTAAGGAAAACACAATGTAGTTGACTGAATTGGAGAGAAAGGAGGGATCTTTATGAGAATTGGGTAATAAAATGAATAAACAGGTAGGCAAATCACACTTCTTTCTCTGAAGTAGCTAGCATGTAGCTTAAGCCTATTGTCAGTGGTGGAAAAGGACAGGTCATAGGTTTTAGGAGTAGTTTAAATACACTGTTTTTCCTTTTCCAGCAGTGTTCGCAAAAAATTTTCATGTCAAAGCAGTAATGAAGACTTCAGTACTACTGTCTTGGGAGATTCCAGAGAATTATAATTCTGCCATGCCTTTCAAAGTAAGTTGCTTTCTCATTTGTAAGATATCAGGGGGGAAAGTGGATGAGGTAGTTCACCTGGGTAAGTCATTTTCTAAGGCTGAAGATCATGCTGATTTGGCTGCACGTACTTGCTGGTCTCATCTGTGGCTCTCATAGAAGAGACTGAGTTAAACACTCTGGCAACAGGACCTTTCACTCTGAAGACGAGGTTGGAGTCCAGGTTTAGACTTGGCATTGTTGCTCACCTTGTACTTCCAAGGTGAACTTTTTACATCCACCCTGGTGCTTTTGTGTTTCCAAAATTTCATGTTTTTTTTAACCAATTTATAATGCACTGTCTTGGGAGTTTTTAAATTTTTTGGCCAGGTTTCTTTGTGTGTTTTAAACTTTAGCATTGGGAGATGTTAACAAAAAGTACAAGCTTAATCTGATGGGTAAGAAACAGCCTTTCTGTGTGGTTTTACTTGCATTCCTCCAATGTCAAGTGGACTACTTCTTACTGTCATCAGGTTTGAGTGTAGATGCTTTATTTGTTTAATAAAAAGAATATAATTATTTTCAAAAGTTAAAAAAGCAAGTTTTTAAAATAAGGAATACAAAAACCTTTTTAAAAATAAAAATATATTTAGAAATATCTATGGAAAGTTTTAGGAAAAAAAAACAGAGTGGCTAATACCTTCAAAATCTAGAGCTCAGATGATGTTAATATCACATACAACTGACAGGTCAGATTTTGAAAAGTTATTGAATATTTCTTTGTATATTTTTGGTAGACTTTTGGTAGAACATTGTATCATTGCATCATAAGAACCAACAGAAAAGGTTGAGACAATCTCTAGAAGAATTCTGAACACTTATGGACTTCAGAATTGCCCCCAATTTAAATTGTTCTAATCTACATTTCCCATAATCAAGCATGTATTATCTTAGAAAATGCATAATAACTTTCTGATTTACCAAATCTCTTTGGTTGATTCTATCTCCCTAGATTCTTTATGATGATGGGAAAATGGTAGAAGAAGTGGATGGCCGAGCTACACAGAAGTTAATTGTGAACCTGAAGCCTGAGAAGTCATACTCATTTGTGCTGACAAATCGTGGAAACAGTGCTGGGGGGCTGCAGCACCGGGTAACAGCAAAGACAGCACCCGATGTGTTACGCACCAAGCCTGCCTTCATTGGGAAGACCAACTTGGATGGCATGATAACTGTGCAACTGCCTGAAGTACCTGCAAATGAGAATATAAAGTAAGTAGATTGATTGAAATATTAGGGCTGAAGGAAAGAAATGTATTACAAGAAAATAAAGTTAAATATCAATTTTATTGGAGTGATAAAAGAATATATTATTTATGTAAAGATTATTATGCATGGGCTCACAGCATGGTTATCCAAGTTTTGTTACACTGTTCTCTGGTGCTTATGATAGCACAGATTCTCATGAATTTAACTCTGAGTGTTTTTTCATATTCCAGGAGTGATGTGACTTAGGTGAATGAGACAAATAGAACATCGCCTTTACTAATAATGTAATTCATGCTATAAATAAAGTGAGTGAGTTGATAGTTGAATAGCTCTAATATTTGGCAAAAATGGTTGTCTTTGTAAAGGAGCTTTGCAAAGTACTGTAAGACTGAGAGAAACTTGGTAATTTGAAAGAAAAGTTGGGTGGAGGCATTTATGCATAGTATTATGACCACTGGGGAAGTATGCTGGTGACAAGATGAGAACAGGTCGTGGGGAAGGTGGCTCCTTAAGACACGTGTTGGAAGGATTAGAACCCATAGAAAATAGTGTTGGGAAGGCATCACATACTTACTGACTATAGACAAATAACAAGATCCTAAAATATGATGGTGATGGAAGAAATAGTATTCAGAGAAGACTGGAGAGCATTTCTGCCATAGCAGTTGGCACTTGTTTTAATGGAGGGATCAAATCCAAGGAAAATATCATAGATGACTCTGAAGCTTGATCTTGGAAGACAAAATGAATGATGCTGCCATCATCATAAAGCATGAAAAATCAGGAGGAAATTAATGAGCTTAATTTTTGTGTATTTTTCATGAATTATGGGTAAAATATCAAGTTAGAAAGATGGGTTTGAAAGAAATTACTATTGGTAGGATTAAAGAGAGGAAATTGAGAATTATGAATAGAGCATCAGTGGTTTTATGAGAGGAGACAGAATTGCTGACTCAGTGAGGGGAAGAAATTAAACTAAAGGCTGAAGGTCAAGATCTCATCATGAAAACGAGTCAACATGGAACAGACAGAGAGGACTGTTAGAAAGTGAAGAGGAGAACTTATACAGTGTGGGGTCACAGTGAGGGAATTATTGATAAGGTAGATACAGTGAAGAATTTCTACAGCTCCAGAGAAATTAAGGAAGATGTATTAAAAATTCAGCTAGTAAGAAGTAAAATTATAAACAGATTTTTAATGTAGTCATTTATGAAGTTGAGAAAAGAATAAAATGATTGGAGTATTTCACCCAGATGCTAGAATTGCCACCATATTATCACTAAAATAAATTCACAGTTCTTTTTGTCCTCTCTGCTTTTTCTACCATTCTGAAAATTGAACATGAGAATGGAATACTAGTGTCATTTTTATCCCAAAAACTTCTATATGAAGATTATTTTTATAGATCATATTTATCCATTGATTTGTGAAATCAATGGATTAAATTGTTAATACAGTTTTGCCACTGCTAGGTCTGAGGGAAAAATGCCTGAGATAAAGTCCTGCCTTACAGTGGGAGAATAGATGCTGTAAATATATAATATGAGCATGTAATAGGTGAGTGCTGCCAGGTACTACAGAAACAGAGTTCTAGCCCAATTTAAGTGTCAGGGAGACATCCAGAGCAGTGATCATCTGTTCAGTGTTGAAGGATGAGACATATTTAAAGAAGGTAAAATAGTTGCAAACAATGAAAGAACATGGAAAGGATGTGTACTCTAAATTCAGTTCATTGAAAATCATGCACTGGGAAGATCATTTAAATGATGAAAATAGAGTAATATATTTTCCAGTAGTTACTATTAGTTTTTGAATTACTTCTATATATTAAAACCTCTCATCGATGTTTACCTGTTTGACTTGGTGGACTGTGTTAGACTTTTTGGGGAAATACCAGTTTAGCCAAGGTGACAGACTTGATTCATTGTCCAACTTCCAGTGTTTTTCTTTAGCTTGCTTATTTTTGTTTTCTTTATATACTTACTCCTCTTATATTTGAAATAGGAGTCAGGGAAAGGGGACAAAACTTTGTAACCAAGAGAAGAGACCATTATTATTCAACAGAGAGAGAAAGCAAAGAATTACGGAGAACAATATATTCTACCAATAAAGATTCTCAGAAATATATTGAAGTCACTCTTGGGAAAAGGGCAGAAGTCAGACTAATAAAGTACTTGAGAGGGAAAAGTATCAGCATCATTGAAAAAGAAAAGCAAGTCTCCTGTTAGTGGAAAAGCCTAGATAATTTAAGTTATTGGGATTCTTAAAGGGCTAATTGTGTAATGTTAGCCATCTGTTTTCAAAGTTGGAAAATGTGGCATGGTCATATATCAAAGAAGCTACATGCCATCTATGCTGGCTGGATTACTTGACAAGTTAGAAATTAGAGAGGAATGTAGGTTTTTATCAGCATTCTGTGGGAGATACGAGGGGAGGAAGCAGAATAGAATCTTGAGCTTTGGGATGGGTTGCCAACTTTTGCTTGAAAGCCGGCTACAAAAATGCTTTCAGCTTGTTTTCTAGCAATATGCAATTTTGCTTGTGGAAGGAAGCATGCTTTTCTCATTTCAGGCCAAGATAATTGGGTGATCTTGATCCCTATGCCCTGACTCCTCACACCTAAAAATAAACCTATCTCTTGTAAATGTAATGTACATGCAGTTCCTTGCTTCCATATTAATTCAAACATGGCTTTATGGATTTTGAGTGAAGCAGGGGGAGATTAAATTACTCAACCAACAGCCAGGTGGGTCCTGCAGGTTCTGGTTTGTTGTGCTGCTTCAGCCTTTGCATGGATGTGTTTATGCCTTGGTGGGGACATCTAGCATCACAACCATTTTCAGAAAATTTTGTGGTGACAGAGAGAATTTCTGTGACTTTTTGGAGCTGTATTTTATTCTGCATGACAAGAAAAAAAGTACCACACAGATTGTACTAAGAGAAAAAATTCCCAGAAAATAGCCAATATAAATTACTTCCACCGCAACCATTAAACATTATGAAAATTTTCATATATGAAAAGCAGAAATGAAGAATAAGAATATTTCATGGAATTTTGTCTTAGGAATTTGACTTTTAGGTTCTCTGCTTTCTCTTCAAAAATAAAGATATTCTTGGAATCCTGTCTTACAAAGTTGCCTCATAAATCATTTGTGTGGTGGTGGTAGCAGTTTAATGAGGAACAATTCATTCGTCAACTGAAGTGGTCAATCCTATACATCTGTATAGCTTTATTTATAATTTAATGAAGATATTAAAATTATTTAAGTTTCTCAATAACCCATTTTAGATGGGTAAAGTGAGATCAAAGATACTAAGAGGCCTGACCAATTAATATCATGTAATTTATACTAATAATAGTAGTGATAGATGATAAAAGTGCCATTGAAAGGACTTTGCACACATTAACTGAGGTAATCCTCTCTAAGAGGATGCTTCTCATTTTAGCAGAGCAAGTAAGGAGGTGGACTAATTTGGCTTATAACACAGTAGCAAATCCTGCCTGGAAAGGTTTGAATCCGGCAAGAGTGACTCTAGACCTCACACATTTTGGACCCAACACTGCCACTGTGATGAGCTGATTAAACCAGGACTTTTTTTCCCTAGAAAAACTTCTGAACAGTGAAGAAATGCACAACCACCAAGCATTTACAGGAACACCCCAGCCAAACCTTGGGACCCAGAGCAATCATGCACATTTGCTCCGTCACAGGTCATAGAAAATTATATGAAGTGTCGTGGGGCCATAAAATCAGTAGGTTGTCTGAGAATCTAGAAGAAAGGTAAAGGGAGAGGCTTTCCATCAGCATCATGATGATACACTTAACCAATGACGAAGATGAGGCTTCTCACCATGAAGTAACTTGTCGGCAACACATGGCTAAAATAATTGAAGGCCTTAATTTAAACACGGAACCATTCAGACTGCTTTGGTTTTTCTGTGGTAAATTAATTTGATTTAAACAATATATACCCAAATGACAATAGCAAAAAAATATTATGCAAGGAATGACATTCATCAGTAAACTCAGAGACAGATTTTGACCTCCCAGTTAAATAACGAGTTTGAGAATGCTAATACAGACTGCTAATACAGAAAGCCTGGTGAATTTGAAGTGGGACTGCCACAAAGACCAGAGCTCGCCTACTCATATAATTATACAGAGCTGGGCCCCTAGATAATAGCATATTAAATAAAATTAGTAAAACTTTACTTAATATAATTAAAATTCTGAAGGTTAGATTTAACGTCTCTAATTAAATCTAATATACTGGGAAAACATGGCTTACTTTATAAGTCAAGGGCTTTCCAGATATATTGATTCTGCAGCCATTTGTTTTCCTATTACTTAAATAGTTAAACTCTATGTTGAAAAATGTGTTTTGAGCCTAAATTCTGGGCTTGATTCAGATAGGCAAAGCAGATTATAAAGTTCGGTGTACCCATATATAAAGCTGATCTGTATCTTGAAGCATTTTTAATTTCAGGAAAGTTTTTTCAGTTCATGTAATTTTGTTGAAATGAGTGTCCAGGGCACATAATAGCTACCATTCCACTCTTCTTATCTAAATCATATTCCCTTTCTTAATATCTTGTGACCGTAGAACAAGGGTTACTACTATGCTAATAAAAAAATGAATATTTGCAGTGAGGAGTTATATTTTCTATAGAATTTAAGCATGTCATTCCTGGTTTGAAGAAAGCAGAAAGGACTTGATGAGATTAAGATTAAGATTAAGTTGGAAGTTCTGATGGAAGACAAGGGCTTCCAGGTGTTTTGAGGGACTGATGTTAAGAGTCATAGTCCCCAAGGGTCACCTACTTCACCCACTTCCATTTTTCAGTGGGAAAGGAACTCAGTGGTGAAATGGCAGGGTTAGACATATTTAATTAGAGTCTATATACAAATGCTTTAGCTATGTACATCTAGGTATATAAACATGTCAGAGTATAAGAAAATTATTAACTAAAATTGGTTCATTAAGACCACATAATAGAGGTA